AATTACTAAAAAGTATAACTTTTTAGTAATTATAAACCAGAGGAATGTGAGCCACTTGCTATTTGTCATATTTGGTAGTTAACTTATTAACAAAGTGTGCTAAGTGCTAATAAAAAAAAAAAAAATTTCGCGGGACAACCCATATAGGAGAATTTAGTAAGCAATAGAATAAATGGTCTGTATCAATGCAGGTGGGAAAAAAAAAACAAGCGATGAATTTAAATTAACTTAGCACATGGATCCATGTGAGAAACTCAGCATCAAATTTCTAAATTTGTTACTAAAAATTAGAAATTATTTGCATCATGATATTAAAAATCTGACTCTAATCTTGGAATGCTCAATCCTAGACTTAGGCTTTGTTTGGGGAGACTTTCTTACTGCTTTCAAAAGCAATTTTATACCACAATAAATAAATGAAAACAGCGAAAAAAAATTATCCAAAAAAAAAAAAAAACTTAATGAGAGAGTTATCAACTTTGCAAAGAGAGATAAGCCTATTTTAGGTTAGTCCCCACTTTATTTTTTAGCTTGTGAGTTGTTTTGTTTAAAATTTATTAATATAAAATAAATTTAAAATATATTAAATCCAAAATTTAATATAAAATTATTTAAAATATTTCAAATATACATATCACTTTAGTATTTTAAATGATTATTATTATTATTATTATTATTATTATTTTATTTCTTATTATTTTATCATGTTATTATGATTATTGTTTGAATAAGAATCATTTCTTTTTATCTTAATAAACGAGCCGACTTATGTGCCACTTTGAACTCATAGAGTTAAAGTGATAAGCTTTCCAAGGTGGAAGAGAGAGACGGAAATACTCAGCGTTTTTAAGGAGTTGATACTTCTGAATGGCTTCATTAGCAACACTTATGAATCACTTATGGTGAGCATGAGATAAAAAATATTTGTGATTTACATTTCTCTGAGAGAAATCAGATTGGAGCAATTTTGAATTATCAAGTATCTTAATATTTTTTCATATATTTTCGGACTTCTGGAGCATCGACGTCTGAAAATAGGGGGGCAACTGATACGTCGTCAAAAAATTATCTTAATCGGGCGCGAATCTCGATGCAAAATCAATTTGGAAACTTCAAAAATTAATTCGGAGACCATCCGAACTCTGATTTTCAGCAAACTTACAGTCAAACTGAGCGTCTCGGAAATACGAACCCAACGCCACAAAATTCAACCCAATCATAGCCCAAAGGGGTCCAAATCAAGGACCCGAAGCGCTGTTGGAAGGTTCAAACCACAATTTGAGCAAACGGTCTCCGATTTTAACGAACTTATACTCGAATCGAACGGCTCGACGAGACGAGTCCAACGAGCCCAAGATCACTAAATACCGAAATCACTAAGGCCTCAAAATGCCTGACAAACGTTCCATGACAAGGGGTTCAATATCGGACGTTCATCCAACCACTCCCCATTTACCCTTGATCTCTCACCTATTTACAAGGCATGCCACTCCATAAAATCTATAAATAGACCCCTCATTTCTCTTGAAAGATGATCCAAGCAAGAAGGGAAGAGAAGAAGAGAAGAGGAGAAGAGAAGGAAGAAGCTCCTCCTCGACCACCGACGGAACCTCGCCGGACCGCCGCCGGAACCTCGCCGGACCACCACCGGAGCTCGCCGGAACCTCGCCGGACCATCGTCGGAGCTTCGTTGCACCACCACCTCAAGGCCCGACGTTCAGGCTCGACGTTCTGCTGAAGGCCCGACGTTTGATCTAATGAAGGACCAACGTTCAGGCCCAACATTCTGCTTAAGGTCCAACGTTCAGGCCCGACGTTCAGGCCCAACATTCTGCTTAAGGCCCGACGTTCTACTGAAGGCTCAACATTCTGCTCAAGGCTCGACGTTCTGCTTAAGGCCAGACTACCAACTAACACCCAAACTTCCAGGTGACGCCAGAGTACTCTCAAGTGACATCGAGTCTAACACCAGACTTCTATCGAACAGTTGCTAGTTGTAATCTGATCGCCCTTGGAGGCGAGTCAACCCTTTTTAATCGACTCAAATTCTAGTGGAATCATTTTCAACTGGGCTAGGCCTCGTGGTTTTTCCCCTTTTAAGGGTTTTCCACGTAAAAAGTCTTGGTGTCTCATAAATGCTAGACCTTCTCTCTTATCTGATTGCGTGCCGGATTTCCGTACAACACTAAGATGATAAACTTTATATTTCTCTACCGTCGCGAATACTCTTGGACACAACAATAATGATTCTATTATATATATAGACTCTCTCACAATTTTAGTACTTTATATGTTATATAAATTATAACATGCAATTATAGTTTGGTATTGTACTTATATGAAGATAAGTACAATACCAAACTATAATTACATGTTATAATTTATATAACATATAAAGTGCTAAAAATGTGAGAGAGTCTTTCATATACATATGACAATTAATATAATTCAAATATTTCTTTTCGATAATAATGAAGGGTTGTTGGGATAGTTCTCTCAAGGAGGAAATGGTACTTAACAAATCAAGATCAGTAAAAAAAAAAAATGGTTGGTTGAGAAAAAAAAAATCTCTTCTAAAATAAGTAGGTTGAACTATCTAAAATTAGCATGAGATAGAGATGATCATGACAAATGCTCTCTTAAAAGAAGAGATGGATTGAATGACTCAACGCTAATAAGCAACATAGGTAATCAAAGAAAAAATTACCCTAAAAGAAGTAGGGTTAAACCCTAAAAGTTGATGGGTGATTTTAGTTATTTGGGATAGAGTAGTGGCGTCGATTATTGACACGACCTGATATCCCGACCCGAAAATTCCTTTTTGGGTCAACCCTTTTAACATACATATGGGCAGGTTCGGATTTCATATTTTGACCCGTTTAAAATAAGGGTGGTCCGGGTTAACTCGCTAACCCGAAATTGACCCGATATATTCACCTGTCCGAAATCCCACCCGCATGCCTCTCACTAACAGCTCTGCCTCTGCAGTAGATCTCGCATCCTACACTGCTTAGCAGTGCACAATGCACTCATGCACGTGCTGCCATCCCCGCACTTGCAGCTCGACCCCCCGCACCCATGCCCTGCCTCACGGCCCTCATTCGAGCTCATCTTGCATTCACCCAGGCCTACGTTCAACCCCACAAACCCATAGTCCTGCTAACACAGCTCCCACGCCGCACCCTGCATGCATGACACTCCTATGCCCGCTGTGTTTCAGGTCGCTAGTCAAGTCGAGTCAACCCGATAAGTTGCAAGGGTCAAGTTCAGGTTGAAATCCCTGGCATGTTTGCAAAACTAGGTTGGGTTAGGTTCAACCTATTTGGACCCGAGTAAAAATTGGGTTGGACCCAAACCCGACCCGTCGACTCATTTTGACACCCCTAGGATGGAGCTTCTCTTGAATGTAGGGGTGCACTTGATAATAGTAATTAATAGGCAATTCATTGCCAAGATGTCCCTTCTCTTAAACACCTTAGTTGAAAAATTAGAATTAATTGGCAACTAGAGACTAGAGACCACTTGGTTGGCCATCCTCCTAATTAAAGTTGGTGGATTCAATAACTTGATTGTGCATGGCAATAGGTACTAATAATCTTACCCTTGAATGAAAATGGTTGAATTAGATGTCTTGGAATCAATAATGAGGGGGTGATCTCATAATAAAATGAAGGTGTATAGGAGCTTTAATTGAGAGATTGTTTAGTTAATTTATATACAAATTAGAAGATTTATGAAAACTATATACAAATTAGAATATTTATGAAAACTATAACTATAATGATTTTCATCAACATGCGGAGTTTTGGTTATAATCTGAGTAATTTCTTCTTATCAAGTGGATTGTTTCTAATAAAACAATATTTCTAATTTCACAAAGATTCCAATAATGCTATTCTTTTTATCCAAAACTCAAATCACTTGCTAATCATATTTATAATGACCATAAGACATTAAGAAAATTAACTAATAATTGAGAATCATTAATGGGTGATTTAGATTAATAATTAAGATATTTAGATCAAATTAATATGCCATAAATAATATAGTTCCTTAAAATGATGAACTTATGTGATCAAAGCAATATGAATTTATAATGCATTATATTTTATATAAATAATATTACTTATAATTAAGTAATCCATACACATAATTATGTAACAATTTATTTGGAGATCAGTATAACAAATAAATAAATGATAAATCAAAATTAATATCATATTATTTAAAAATAAATTTAATGGCATTTAGACTTTTTCTTATTAAAAAACTTTTCAAGATCCAAATTTTTAATATAAATTTTATCCAAACTAAGTTGGACTGGCCGGACTCATTCCAAACCAATAAAGCAAACCCACGACGACTGCACACCCTAGAGAAGCCCTCCAGTTCTGCTTAAACCCAACCTGAATATGCTAGTTTACTCTCATCCTCTCCCACTAGGCAAATTATTCTGCGCGGGCGTCGAACACCATCTAGAGATCAACCAGAATGTGCCACGTTTGTTTGATACTACTGATATGACGCATTCTGATTGATCTCCGAATGATAAAGTGCGTTCGACATCCGCAGATAATAATTTCTCCTCCCAATAAACCTTCTTTTTAATCTATATATATTCCAAGCCATGTTAGCATCTGACGAGATTCTTTACTGCGGCTCCCATCCACTACCGACACGTGTCCTTTCCTTATTCAATAGTATGGCTCCCGCCTCAGCGCCTGGTCCCGTTGTTCGTTTTAAGGGTTCTCTCACTCTATCCTTTCTTTATAACCACTTTTACCACCCCACAATACGACGAGAGTAAAAGGTAAAAAGGAGAAGGCAAATGGGGCGGTCTAGGGCAACGAATTGGGCCTCCCCTCGTCTCTTCATGTCTTGCTTTCATGGCCTAAAAATGGAAAAAATGAATGCTTCATCTCTTCCCTCAGTGGAAGGAAACTTAAGCTTTCTGATCTCCGGTGTTTTAGCTGAGAAGGAAGGGAGAGAAAGAGAAAGAAATGGGGAGAGGAAGGGTGGAGATGAAGCGGATTGAGAACAAGATTAACAGGCAAGTGACCTTCGCTAAGCGCCGGACTGGCCTCCTGAAGAAGGCCTACGAACTTTCCGTCCTCTGCGATGTCGAGGTTGCACTTATTATCTTCTCCAACCGTGGCAAACTCTACGAGTTTTGCAGTAGCCGAAGGTATGCAATCACTCCTGTACCTGTTGGCTTAATATGCATAGCAGTCTTTTTGCGGATTGTAGGCTGGATCGGGAGGAGCGATCCTCGCGAGTTTCCCTTCTTATGTTTAGGTTACCGTTTTGGTGAAATAGGAAGGGAAGAAAGTAGATCTGCTGAGAAAAGAAATTAGTTGAATTCGGGTTTTGTTCCTACTTTGTGATGGTTTGCTTGTTTTGAGCTCTTTCGACACTTAAAAATGGTTTTATTTTTTCCTGTTGTATTCATGTTGATTTTGGCTTGGGTGGTGCGTTGGACTTTGTAGGATGGTTTATGTGGAAATGGTAAAAGTTGGTTTTGCTTTGGGTCTGCGGCTTCGGGGAAGCTTAAAATAGATCTAAGTCACGTTTAGGTTCTCCTGCTTTAGGAGTTAGGCGTCGTCTCTTTTCGATCAGCGAGGTTTTCTTTCTGTGTTACTCCGTATCAGATCATTAATTCCTCCGCAGAAAAATTGTGTTGCATTTTTCCCCCTTTTTGTGATATACGGCACAGTTACTAAGAAAAATCTCTGAGCAGAAAGTCGAAAGCATCATCTGCTTGGAAAATTTTTTGTCCAAAGCTTAAAACTTCACCTTCTTTAGTGTTCTAAATCCTCCCTTCAAACCGCTAGCTTGATCACCGAACTTCTAGGGTTCAGCATTTATTGCCCAGTTAAAAAGAAGTTTACTTCTCGCATCATCTGCTCGCGAGTTAATCAGTGCGATTTCGAATTGAATTCCAAGGAGTTTCCTTTGCATGGTTTAATTCACGCTCGATTTTGCAGTCACATCTCGTTGATTTGTCTCGTAGCAAGTATTTTTTCATGCCTTCTAAGTTGACTTGAACTTGCTTTTTTATTGTTTTCTATAGAAGATTTTTAGTAAACAAATTTGAACTTGGGCATCTTTTTTGTACATCGAAATAGAGGTCTTTTAACTTTCTCTTTTCTTAGAAGCTTTCACAGATTTTCTTCTTGACAATCTGTCTCAAGAGGTCGTCTTACCGTCTGTTTTCCACTGACGACGGCTAAAGTGGCCACAAAAATCTTACACTATATTTATTATAAAAAATTCTATAACTAAGTATTATCTCCATCTACTTTTACATTTGAAGTTGTGTTAAGAAATCACTGGATATAAAATCTCCAATCCTTATAAGTTTTCTAACATAAAGTACATAGCACTGATATTTTTTTTTTCTAGTGTGATGCGATATAATACAATACAGTTGTTAAGTTTGATAGTAATTCTACACACCTCCAGCAAATCTAAGAAAATTTTGTGATTTTATGGAGTTCAATAAGCTCCAGAGTACAAACTGTCCAATTATTATATAACAACGACCATTGACAGGCATGGAAGAAAATCAATAGTAACCTGATAAGTAGGGTGAGTTAAAAATTGATAGTCAAGCTCAATAATTGACTACTACTAGCGAATGCACAAAGATTAAGTCATAAGTCATAAATATGATCAATGAAAGAGAGGAGAGGTGACAATTAATATAAAATCATTTAATGCAGTCATAACCAATATGTCAAAATAGTATGAACTTGTATTGTGAATATTATCTTATATAGAAGCAGGTTATTATTGTTGATTACTATACAATTAATTTAATAGAAAATTAGTGTAATTTGACATTTAGTATGTTCTAATACTAAAATTTTCACCTACATGCATATTATTTTGTTACAACTAAAAATGACTCAACAGTCTTTAAATATGATCAGTAAATGAGGCATGAATGATAATGTGGTTATATTTTGTATAACTATAAATAATATTTTGAAATAGCCTAAAATTATATGGTGAATATTATCATACATAAAAAGCATTCCATTGATGATTGCCATGCATTATAATTTATATAAAAATTGTGAAATATGGCATTCTGCATTCAAATGCAAAATCATTCATGTGCATGAATATTATATTTATACATCTAGAAATGACTTACTTGTCTTAAATATGATCAATAAAAAAGTCACGAGTAATATTATAATATTATTTCATATGATCAATGAAATAGTCATTATTGATAATATAATGTTATTTCATACAATCATAATTAATATATTTAAATAGTATGAAGTTGTATGGTAAATTCTATCATATATAGAAACAATTCATTTGTGATTGCTATGCAGTAGCATTTATAAGAACATGTGTGCAATATGACAATTACTATATTCAAATGTTGAATAATTAATGTGAATGCATACCTTATTTATACTTCTAGAAATATTTCAATAGTCTTTTATTATATTTTATAAACAATTGTATTTAAAAGAAAGATATTTGCTAATCTAATTATGCCTAATAACCTCCATGAATCATCAATATATTTGTTGGGGTGCAAACGAGTCAATTTGAGCTCTAGTTAGGACTAACTTGACATCGACTTACCCATTGCCAGCCTTGAACTCTATCTAGCACATTAAAGGAGGAATTGAGCTCGACTCGTGTGTTCAAACCAAAATGTTTTGGGCAAGTTGCAAGTCTTGTGATGAAAGCTAGTTGGAAAAAGAAGCAACGAGACCAACAATCAGTACAGGAAAATCACCCATTACTGGCGAAATTTCCAACGGATTTCCGGGGGAAGATTTTCCGGCGTAACTCCGACGAATCATTTGAAAAAAAAAAGTTACGACAAATTTTCAAGCAGATTTTACGGTGGATATGTTTCCGAAAGATTTTCCAACGGACTCTGAAAATATCATTTATTCTTAATTTAATTAATTTATAATTTTATAGTTTAATTTAATTAATTATAAATTTAATTCATTATTTTAATTAATTATTAATTTAATAAATTATTTAATTAATCTTAAAAAATAACTTATTTTGATTATCAATTAAAATATTAAATTTAAATGAATTTCTTTTTATTTAATATTCTGTGGGTTTTAATATAAATA